GGTGGGGGGGGGGGGGGGGGGGGGTGGGGGGGGGGGGGGGAGGGGGGGCAAGAGAGGAGGGGAGTGAGAGGGAATTGGTATTGACATGTAAAACAAGCTTGTTTGTAATTTAAATGAAAAAAATGTATATCGATGGGAACAACAAAAAGCAAATACATGAGGGTCTTTATATTTTGAGTTATTTTTTAATAACCTCACCACAGAAAACGTATCACACATAAAAACATAGAGTGACTCACAAATTTAATTTTCACCAGCTTGTATCTCTGACCTGACAGAGCTATGACATTAAGAAGAGAACTAGAATTATTAGGGGAAAAAAAAGGAGATTGATGAGTATCTAGGACCCAGAAAATAGCAGCTGCTTCCTTCACACAGATATAGACTATGGATCTAGGGCACCTGGGTTGAAGGACGACCCACTTTCAAAATATAATAAGAATCTTATTGCACTCACTTCTCATATCTTTTCATCAATAAAACAGAACATAATGAAAAATGTGGTCCTCTTAGTAGAGCTAATTTAGCAAAATGCTCTGACCAGGTTACAACATGAGTTAGAGCTCCTGGCCTTCTCAAAGACTCACTGGTTATTGGGAGAAATCAGTTATTGGTTATTTAAGAGTGAGCTTATTTTCTCTTGCTGGCTATCAGCCCATGGAAGGCTCCTGGCTCTTAGAAATTATTGTTAGGTCTTGGCAGGTGGTCATTTCATAAGCCTTCTAACTGCATGACAGCTTATTTCTTAGCACCAGCAAGACAGAAGAATCTCTGTTAAGTTCAATCTTCTTATAAGAGCTCGCCTAATAGTTCATGCTCTCTGAGAAAGTCCCTCTTCAGACTCTCTAAAGCCAACTGGCCACTATCCACTCACAAACCAGACAACCCATCATTTTCTTCCCACTTGCCTGTACTCATGAAGTACTTTATACAAAAGAGACCTGACAGTATATGAAATATTAGATATTATTTGAAAATCCTAAGTAGTGTGTATTCCTTGACCCTCAGTTTTCTGTTTGACTGTGTATTTAAAATGATAATGTAAATGATACTCATTCTAAAAACAAGCAGAGACAAAAGCGTAGTTCACAGCTGTATTTGTATATACAGTTGAATTTTGGTAGTAATTTTCTGATTACAATAAAGTTATAGAGGATAGAGTGAAAAAAAAGGGGGAGAAAAACAAGTCAGTAGGCTTACTTGGCTTTGCTAAAGCTTTCTAAAAGCCTGATATAACTAACAAGTGCTTATCGGTAAAACAAAAATGCTAAAAGCAGTATGGAACATATTTTAAGACACAATTTACAATATAATGTTATTTGTTATTGTTTTCATTTTCCTTTTCACACTGTTAATTTTACAAAGTTCAAAATAGGTCAGATTCACTTAGAAAATTCTCTTTTCTCCCTGCTTCTGTTATGCTTTTCTAACCACTGTAGGGCTTATTTTCCAGGTGAGTTAGTTTAGCAAAAGCAATTTTGTATGCTTCACCGGTCTCTTTAGTACTTTTCTTTCTTAGGTCATAAAATTCCAGCTCATGTAGATCACTGTGTAGGAGACTTGTCGTGGTCCAGTTCTCTCTGATGCTGAATTTGATACATAGATACAGAAATAGTCATTACTGCTAACTAGAGCAACTTCACCTTACATGCTTTTACAATGATGGAGCCCAGATAGAAAATATTTAGCAGATCAAGTCTACAAAATTAAAATTTCAAAAGAGTTTGTCATTTAAAACTATTGCACTTTATTTCTTTTTTTTTTCATTTTTTAATTTAAATTAGAGAGGGGTTTCCATAGTGCAGTGGTTATCATGTTTGCCTAACACGCGAGAGGTCCCTGGTTCGAAAACGGGTGGAAACAACGGTACTTATTACTCTTTGCCGGGTGGTGGTGGCATATGCCTTTAGTCCCAGCACTTGGAAGGCAGAGGCAGGTGGATCTCTGTGAGCTCGAGACCAGCCAGGTCTACAAGAGCTAGTTCCAGGTCAGCCTCCATAGCCACAGAGAAACTCTGTCTCCAAAAACCAAAAAAAAAAAAAAAAAAAAAAAAAAAATCCCAATTCTCTCCCCCTCCCATTCTCCTCTTCCCCCCCATACATTTTCTGCTCCCAGGGATTGTGAGGCCTTCCATGGGGGATCTTCAGAGTCTGTCTGTCCATCCTTTGGAATACAGCCTATGTCCTCCCCCGTCGGTCTAGGATAAGGGAATATCCATCTATGTGAAATGGGCTCCTAAAATCTATTCCTATGCCAGGGATAAGTACTGATCTACTACAAGAAGCCCATAGATTTCTGAGGCCTCCTAACTGACAGCCACATTCATGGAATCTGGATCAATCCTATTCTGGTTTCCCAGCTGTCAATCTGGGGACCATGACCTCTCCCTTGTTCAGATCAGCTGTTTCTATGGGTTTCATCAGCCTAGTCTTGACCTCTTTGCTCATTGCTCCTCCTCTTTGCACCTGGATTCCAGTTCAGTTCATTGTTTAGCTGTGGATGTCTGCTTCTACTACCATCAGCTGCTGGATGAAGGTTCTAGGATGGCATATAAGTTAGTCATCAATCTCATTATCAGGGGAGGGCATTTAAGGTAGCCTCTCCTCTGTTGCTTAGATGGTTAGTTGGTGTCTTCTTGTAGATCTCTGGACATTTCCCTAATGGCTGATTTCTCTTTAAACCTATACTGGCTCCCTCTCTGATGGTATCTCTTATTTTGCTCTTGTCTATTCTTCCCCTGACTCAAACTTTCTGCTCCCTCATGTTCTCCTCACCTCTCCTCTTTTCCACTTCTAATTCTTCTAGCTCCATCTCCCCTCCAACCATGTTCCCAATTTGTTCAGGAGATAGTGTCCCTTTTCTCTTTCTCCAGAGGAACATGTATCTCTCTCTAGGGTCCTCCTTGTTTACTATCGTCTTTGGTGGTGTGGATTGTGGGCTGGTAATCCTTTGCACTATGTCTAAAATCCATATATGAATGAGTACATACCATGTTTGTCTTTTTCTGACTGGGTTACCTTTGTCAGAATAGTTTCTTCTAGATCCGTCTATTTGCCTGCAAATTTCAAGAGGCCATTGGTTTTTGTTTGTTTTGTTTTGTTTTGTTTTTCTGCTGAGTATTACTACATTTCGAAAATGTACCACATTTTCTCCATCCATTAATAAGTTGATGAACATCTAGGTTCCTTTCAGGTTCTGGCTATTACAAATAATGCTGCTATGAACATAGTTGAACAGATATCCTTGCTGTGTGAATGTTCTTTTGGGTATATGCCTAAGAGTGGAATTGCTGGATCTTGTGGTATACTGACTCCCATTTTCCTGAGGAACTGCCATACAGATTTCCAAAGTGGCTCTACCAATTGGCACTCCCACCAACAGTGGATGAGTGTTCCTCTTTCTCCACATCCTCTCCAGCATAAACTGTCATTGGTCTTTTTGATTTTAACCATTTCGACAGGAGTAAGACGGTATCTCAGAGTTGTTGATTTGAATTTCTCTGATGGCTAAGGATGTTGAGCACTTTCTTATGTTTCTTTCAGCCATTTTATATTTTTCTATTGAGAAGTCTCTATTTAATTCTGTACCCTATTTTTCATTGGATTATTTGGTGTTTTAGAGACTAGCTTCTTGAGATCTTTGTAAATCTTTTGGAGATCAGCCCTCTGTCAGATGTGGGGTTGGAGAATATCTTTTCCCATTCGTTGGTCTACTGTTTTTGTCTTGTTGAATATGTCCTTTGACTTACAGATTTTCAGTTTCAGGAGGTACCATTATTAATTGTTGATCTCAGTGTCTGTGCTACTGGTGTTATGTTCAGAAAGCAGTCTCCTGTACCAATTTGTTCAAGGGTACTTCCCACTTACTCTTCTAACAGGCTCAGTGTGGCTGGATATTATATTGAGGTCTTTGATACATTTGGACTTAAGTTTTCTGCATGGCTTAAACATGGATCTATCTGCAGTCTTCTACATGCCAGCATCCAGTTATGACAGCACCATTTGTTGAAGATGCTTTCTTTATTCCATTGTATAACTTTAGGTTTTTGTGAAAAATCAGGTTTTCATATGTATGTGGGTTAATATCAGGGCTTAAAATTTGATTCCTTATGTCTACCTGTCTAGTTTTGTGCCAATACCAAGTTTTTTTTTCAGGTGTATAGCTCTATAATAGAGCTTGAATTCAGGGATTGTGATGCCTCCAGAAGTTGAGGATAGCCAAAACAACCCTTCACTTTCATTTCTGAATTCTGTGTAATACAAGGATTTGTCTTACTGTTTTAATGTATTTTTAAAAATGTGAATTAAAGTTACTCTGCGCCTGTTTCTGCTGCTATTAATCACTGTGTCCTCTCATTTCTGACCCTTCATTTCAATTTTTAGAAACTTTCACTTTGTCTATTATTAGTTTGATTTGGTATCATTATTTTACTTTCTTCTTTTGAGTAGTCTATGAGTATTCTCCTATATCACAGTTTCTGAAAGCCTCATGATTGTTATTGAATCCCATATTCATAGTAAGGCCTCACAAGATGAAGACTTTTTCCTTGTAACAGATAAACCTCGCCTTTATAATTTTCCCATTAGCCACCATTCCACCAGATTCATGAAGAATCACACATTGAAATTTCCATGTTGTTAATCACATCTGTATTTATTAAATTTCCCTCTTTGTCATCATATAATGAACATCAGAAAAATGAAGGAAGATACTGTACCAGTCTTAAACCAAAGGTATAGTTATTACATAGCAGTAATATTTCATGTTCTTTAGTATTTCATTTTGTGGTTATAATATAATTACATAATTTCTTCCCTGTGTTTTTATCATAGTCTTCCATGCAATCCTCCTTAAACTTTACAATCCTTGGCCTCTCATTTCATTAATTTTTTGTTACATATTTGAATGTGTATGCCTATACAATAATATGCTAATAATAAATTGTAATCATATTATAATGTTTATATATATAAAATATAAAAATTAAAATTACAATATAACAATATATTACCTATTTAGACATACAGTTGTAAAATTTATATGATATATAAATATAGTAATACATATACATCTATGCATAAATATATATTATAACCTGCTCAATCTGTGTTATGTTTCTTGCATGTATGTTTTCAGGACTGAGCATTTGGTATTAGATAATCAATTGATGTCCTCTTTGATGTTGAAGACTCCAAGTAGAATTGTGGATTCCAATCCAAGCAGATGCATCTATGATAGAACTGCACCCAAAGCTCAAAGATCTTGTGGAAGAGGGAGAATAAAGATTTATGAAGCCAGATTAGCACAGTTTGCTATGAATTTGTGTACCCTAGGAATATCAGAAACTACCCTCATAAAGTTTCACCAATATTTCTGCCTAAACTTGACCTGAACAAGAAAAATAGACATGCTAATGTTGTAATTTATGTTTTAATGTTATTTTGTATTTTTTAATGTTTTCAATCTTATTAATGCATAGATATAATGGTATGAAAATTGTTCACATCCTAACATGCATATTTACTTTATTTAATTAGTTCAATGAACTTTTGAGAAAAATCCTGTGCTAATGTTCAACAGGTATTTATTTTAATCATATGTATAGATAAAACTGAGGTATATTATAATTCTGTTTTAAATTTGTTTTACACTGTAATACTCTTGATATTTCATGAAGATATACAATCTGATGTGCTTCAGTTAATTCAAGGTTAAATATTGATCATGGAATCTCTGTATTCACAAAATTATAATTCTATGATGCCACATGTCATTACTTCATTTTTATCAGCACATGGTCCTTTGCTAATATAGCTATTAATTCCATAAATTCACCTATTTTTCTATGTGAAAAACCTATTAAACCTCAGGCCTCTACTCTGAATAAGTTGCTTTTGGCACTCATATTTTGTAAGTAAATAACAAAATTTATATAATATAAAGTTGAATATTGATTTGTACAAAATAAAGACATATTGTCAATCTCTCAACCTAATTTGTCCAAAGTTCTAACTTATTTAGTGAAACCATAGTGCTTCTCTGAAGACTGGGTTAATGACTAATGACCTTAATACTTCCAGTACCACTGCCATTCATAATACATTATTTTTCCTGAGTTCACACTCTTCCAATTATCTTTAGAACATTGATTGCTTTATAACGCAATGGGCTCAAACCATGAATTGCACAAGTGCTGCAGCTTTGCTTACTGATATACCTGGAAGTCCCCTTCACCAAATCTCTCTATTCACTTTTGGAAAACACGTTGCTCTTTAGACCTCATTGTTTACATGAGTACAATTATATCTTTTGTACATGAACCAAATCTACTTCTACCTCTACTTTTCTCCTTTCACAGAGAATTTAAGACTTTAGTCTCTACTGCAGAAAGAATAGGTGGTCACAAAATAATTTCCCAATGGATGAGTACCTTGGTGGTAGAACCCTCACCTTTTTAAAATTTAAATTAGAAAAAATTCTTATTTTATATACCAGTCCCAGTTCACTCTCCCTCCCATCCTTCCATGCCCTCTATCAAACACCATCCCATCCATCTTCTGCTCCATAGAAAGTATAAGGCCTTCCATAGGGCACCATCAAAATCTGTCACATCATCTGGGGCAGGGCCTAGGCCCTTCCCCATGTGTCTGGTACCCATGCCATTTAACCACAGTTGCTTATACACAAAAACAGACAGGCATACACTAGTACATACAAACAACTATCACACAATCACACATTGATTTATCAGAGGGGAATTAATTATTTTCATGTATCTTTCTTTTGTATATGGATGATTGGTCAGCATAATTTACAAAATGTTAACAGGTATAAAACTTGCTCTGGGGAATTAATTTTGCAAA